GGGCCCCACCCCCCTGTTTTGGCTCTTGCGAGCTGCCCGCGAGTTGGGCGGCCGCGAGCCAAAAAGTTTTATCGGGTAAAAAAGGCAACAATGTTGGATGTAATGACAATGTGGGTTAGAGGCAATCGTATTTTGTGTCCATGCACATCTGATTATCAAAATCTATTTAATTTCTACATTGCTGTTAAATTCTTTAAGCTTGTCATAAATATTGTAGTAAATAATAAAAATATATAGGCTTCCCTTAAATTAAGAAACGTTTATTATAAATATCAAGAAGTTAAGGAAATTGATTGTGCTTAAAGGATACTTGACAACTGCACATCTTACAGAACTTAACTTTAATCAGTATAAAGCCTTCAAATAATATTTGTTACTTTAGAAAGAAATTGGGAGGGGTACATCATACATGTGTAGTAGTAGCCTTTTGACTAGAACACGTAAAACATTTTCATACGGTTGTTATATATTGTCACAGTTTTTTTTACATTTTTTTCTTTTTTCTTTTTCTTTACTTATCACTCGCCTGTATTTATTTTTAAAAGATATAAATCTCTTGTATTTCCCTTGCACTGTCTTTATTAATAAATGTCATTTTTGCTTACATTGTATGCAAGCATATATTGGTGACCAAATGCCTATGTATTTGTTCATCCTTGATGAGAAAGTGAAGATGACCTGTGCTACAAAACACAAATATAAGGGTACGAGAATTCATAACTCAACATTGCAATCAATGGACAAATTTTCAAAATAGACCATTTTGAGTTTTTATTTGCAAAAGCTGACCGCTTTTGAAAATATTTACAAAAACCGACATGTTTTCAGCCCAGCGCTGAAAACAGGTCGGTTTTTGTTAAAAGTTTTCCGAAACTTCACGGGAGTTCAACTCCCGTGAAGTTTATTGAGAAATTAAACTTCACGGGAGTTGAACTCCCGTGAAGTTTAATTTACCATATAACTCCACGCCGCCTGCAACTCCCGGGAGTTGAACTCCCGGCTGAGTTTGTGCGTCCTTTATAAAACCCGCGTGTTGACCCCAGCCCTCGACCCCAGGCCCACAAACCCTAGTCTACTCCTTCGTTCCCAACGGGCCGCCGCCCCAAACCCGGTGCCGCCGCCGCTCCAGCGTCCGACGCTCGCCGCCATAGCTGGTCCCGACTGCCACCGCCGCCCCCTTTCCGTTTGCGCCGAGCGTCGGCCCAGATCGACGTCAGGATCTCATCTCAGAGGGAAAAACAAGGGGTAAATTCTCCTAAAAACATTTATTACTCTCTAATTTTGTATACTCTCACTATTTGATTGTGATTACATGTTAAAAATCTAAGATTTTAGAATTTAATTGTTGAATTATTTTATGAATTATGTAAAGAAATGTGAAAATGGTAGGGAGGGGGAAATTATCAATAAATGTGAAATCAATAAATGTGAAAATTATAGGGGAAATTATCAATAATTTTGTGAAATTTGTGAAGAATTAGTGTGGAAATTATCAATAATTTCATGGAATTAGTGTGGAAATTATCGATAATTTTGTGAAATTAGAGGGGAAATTATAAATAAATGCTAAAATTAGAGGGGAAATTATCAATTAATGTGGAAATTAGAGTTACTACCTAAATGTAAAAATTAGTAACAATCAATATTTATTTGGCTTTTCGTGTAATATTGATCTTGAATTTTTCACTCTTCAGAGGTAACGGTGAACGATCGAATCGTAATTCTCTATTCTTATGATGGGAAGATTAATTACCTCGAAAATAATATGCCCGTTTATGAAGGAGGCACGACGAGACCGTTGTTCATAACAAAATCGTGTACTTTCGATGAGTTGGTTAATGAATTACACAAACTTACATTAACTAACTCACGTGAGTATCACCTCAGTGTGGTTTGCAATTATCCTGTTGTGGGGAACAGAACAAGTGATATTCAAATATCAAGTAACTATGATATGGGTCTCATTCATGTCTTACACGACGAGAAGCGTTCGGTCGAATTATTCATTGAAAAACATCAGAGGGATTTGGGCAAATCATTGAATTACAAAGGAATGTATTCTCGCATGTTGGAGGATCCTGAAGTTGATTCCGTAGCTTTTTTATCTCCTCAACAAGATGAATGTTGGACACAATCACAATACATGATCGGTCCTTCGTTCATGGGCACTTCAAATGCTTTCGATACTAACACGGGAATTCAAGAAGATAATGCAAGTGTCGAATCCGAGAATGATGATGAAGAGGAGGGATTACAAATTAATAGCATGACCTTGATAGATCGTGATGACGGGGAAAACCAACACATCGACGGATGTTATGTTAATAATGAGTATGTCGTCTTAGAGGATCCGCCGCCCGATGAACTTCAAGGAGATGAATGGATTGATAACTCCGTGATGGAAAGTGTTCCTATTAGTACTAATAGCGATGTTGATACACAGGCCGAGGACTTCTCATTCATGAAGGGAGATCTTTACGAGAGTAAGGAGAAATTGATCCATGCTATTCGTACGTATTCCATTACAAAAAAATGTGAAGTTCAGGCCAACCAAAAATAATACTACAAGCTATAATGTGGTTTGTTTCTATCGCAAAGATGATGATGTCGAAGATAATAGTGGACACCACGACGGCAATGCGAGGTGTCCGTGGAAGCTTAATTCACGCTCGGGTGTAAGAGTAGGCGGGCAATTCAAAATCACGGCATACAATGGACTCCACACTTGTAGCAATCCTCGATTAGAGATGAATAACAAGAATGCGTCCTCTTCTTTTATAAATCGATTGATTTTACCGCATCTGAGGGAGAATCTTGATCTAAGGCCGAAAGATATCCGTCTTTTAGTGCATAAAGCCACCAACTTGGATGTATCATATCACAAGTATTAGAATGCTAGGAGGAAGGTGATGATAAAAATATTCGGGGATTGGGATAAATCGTATGAGATCTTACCTCATTATCTTGAAGCACTCAAAAGAGAAAATCTGGGGACTGTCTACGAAGTATCTTCGGACCCGGTTCAAGTGGAGACCCTATACACTGCCAGAGCTCGATATGCATTCTCTTGCACCCATCTGCCGAGATAGTCCCGACTTGTGGAGAGCCAGGGTTCCATTAATTTGTTGGGAGATCGTGGAGATGTATGTCCCTGACCGTGTGCTACGACAGTTTACGCTCTCTCAGCATGTGCCAGATCCTGTCGAGCAGATTGATCGTCGACCGTGTGCTACGACAGTTTACGCTCTCTCAGCATGTGCCAGATCCTGTCGAGCAGATTGATCGTCGGCGGAGACCTACTTCGCATCATACCGACTGGGCCGTAGTCCGTGCGGCGTACATAGACAGGTGAGCTCACAGGTAGGATTTCATCCAGGATACGAGGCCCACAGCTGTTGACTATACCGCGTATATGGGTTGGTATTGGGGTATCACACGTAGATGGATCACACGTGACCCACAGCCCTTAGCTGGACATATGCCACGGCCACCGACAGACAGTTACATCCCTAGTGGGATGAATGAGAGAGATTACGTAAGTTTCTAAGCTAAATTATAATATTTTTTTTCTTGAGTTGGTACTTATTAAATTATTTACCTCACAGGTCCGTGCTTTTGATAGCATTGAGGCTGATATTGATGCGACCGTGCCTGAGATTCAGGATCAGGTGGCGTTAGGACTCCTCATCAGGATCAATAAGACCATAGCACAGGTGTTTCATAAGACTCACGTCGACGAGTTCGCAGGCCGTGAGGATAGGTCTCGATCATTTGGGCAAGCGTACACTCGGCGCCGACGGCCACGTGACGATGACGGCGGCACTTCGCATGCTGATGGAGCCGGCACTTCGCAGCCTCATACACAGCCGGATACTCAGATAGTCGAGGCTCATCAGCGCGGGGGGCGGGGAAGAGCGAGGGGGAGGGGGAAGAGAGGGAGAGGAAGGAGAGGAGCTATATTGGGTTGTATTTGAACTTATTTTGTTAAAATTTGTAACTTGTATGAATTTTTAAATACTATACTTTTATGGATCAATTATAGCTCGATATGTGATCTTTTTGAGTATTGTTTGATTCGTGCGTGTTTAATTCATATATATATTGTAGTAATTATTGTCAACAGGCAAATAGTTGTATATATGAATTAAATAGGTAGACGTATACAAAACATGCACAGCAGCCTGTGCATGTTTTGTAAAACCTGCAACTTCACGGGAGTTCAACTCCCGTGAAGTTGCAGTCTAAATTTCCCAGAGAGCGATTCTCTGGGAAATTTAGCCTGTAACTCCACGGGAGTTGAACTCCCGTGGAGTTTTAAACGCTGCAACAAACTCCACGGGAGTTGAACTCCCGTGGAGTTTATTCACCAAAATAATCTTCACGGGAGTTCAACTCCCGTGAAGTTTAAAAGCATACTAAACTTCACGGGAGTTGAACTCCCGTGAAGTTTCGTAAAATTTTTTAGAAAAACCGACCTGGTTTCAGCAACAGCGCTGAAACCAGGTCGGTTTTTCTAAATAAAATGAAAAGAGGTCGTTTTTTACAATTAAATAGTGAAAGGGGTTGGTTTTGAAAATTTGTCCTGCAATCAATTGATACAATAAGAATATTTTGAAGGATGTCTAAATCCAAAATGTAACACCTAATAAGTTAAAAAAAACTTATCCTATTGTTTTGTTTCTTGACGTAAAAAAGCTAGAACTTCCCCCCATTAGTTATATTTTATCACACGAGCCTTGTGGGAGTAGTACAAGATTTTACACGGATTTGAGAAAGATAGCACGTGAGAGAATCTGGTAGACAAATGTAGCTAGAAAAGACTCAGGACTAGTCACGTTTAGGACAAATCCAGAAGGAAAGCCTAGAGTCTAAACTACTTGCACTTTATTTGGATAGAAAATTTGATTTTTTTTTTAATTTAAACTTTAGTTTGAGAATGAGAGTCTTGGATTTTATCCCCCAAGAAAACTTTAGAGGAAATGCCAAATGCCAAATGATGTGGAAAATGATAGAGAATGCAAATCGCAAGTAAAGTTTGTTTTTTGAAAGGCTAAAATAAATAGCACCTAATTAACCTTGTGGCTTCACTCACTTTGCACCTACGAACTCCTTTTTTTTTTTTTTAAATTTACAGTAGTTATATACCCTAAGTTGTTTAAAATTATCACTTTGCTATCTTCATCTATGCAAATGTGAAAATTTTGACCTAAACGTTATTGTATAACACGTGTCATATGAGAACATTCAAGTTGAAAATTTTCACGTTAGACTATCTGAAAATAGCAAAGTGCCAATTTTAAAAACGTAGGATATACGATTGCTGCGCAAAAATAAGTGAAGGTATACACATGCCAAGGGAGTGAATCTATTAAATTCTTAAGTTCTATTTTTAGCCTTTTAAAAAAACTATTTGTTAAATTAGAAATTAAGTTACAAGTAAAAAAAAAGGCACAGTGTTAGATAAAATAAATTTAATAAAAGAAAAGGCCTCGGCCGCAAGAATATAAATGACAGTATTATAGGGGCTTTTTCTTTATAGCAATTTATCCTTTCACAGAGAAATCTGCTGAAAGGGCAATAAAAATCGATCCTTTTTCTGGTATCAATGGGAGCCGAAGAAGAACAGAAAGGAAACCAAGAGGGCAGAATCGCTGAAGGATCGAACCCAATCTCAGAATCCCAATTCCTCTCATGGAAGCGCCGAAAGGTCTCTCCTTTCTCCTTCATTTTCCTCAAATTTCTAGGGTTTTGACTAAATTCGCATGCTTCTCCTCTAATTTTATTATTGACTGAAGTTGGGATCTTGATGTTGGATATTAAATTAATACCCTAATAATTTCTAGTTTTTTAACGGATCCTTTGGTTTCACTGATGCAATTACATCTATGGAGGTATGCAGTTTGGATCTTATAGACTTGGATAGATTCTGATTTGGTTGTGGATGATAGGCTGAACTGAATTTGAGTTGACTCCCTTGCAGTTTAAATAGTTCCCTCCAAAATAGGCTAGTGAATAATGGATCCCTATCACTCACTATGGATTTAGGCATGCCATGTAACTTGAATATACCCTCAAAAAATACCTGAGCTACTGACTGAGTTGAGTATGGGTATGGAAGGCCAAAGAAGTGTGCATACTTGGACAACCTATCAACCACAACAAAAATAGCAGAATTTTTCCCACTTTTTGGTAGATGTGTGATGAAATCCATGGATATGTCTTCCCAAATACAATCTGGCACAGGTAGTGGTTGTAAAAGTCCTGGTGATGCTACATTCTCTCCTTTAGCTCTTTGACATGTATCACAAGCTTGCACATACCCTTGAACATCCCTTTTCATCCCCTTCTAATAAAAAGCCCTTCTCAACCTGTGTAGAGTTCTAGTGACCCCTGAGTGTCCTGCTATAGGACTGTCATGGTGTTCTTGCAATAATAAAATTTTGATGTTTTGAGCAGTAGGGCTAATCAAAAGTTTGCCTTTATAGAAATAAAGTCCCTCCTCCTTACCATACTTATCAGCTTCCAATTTTCCTTGAGGTAGTTTAGCATCAAGATCTGTAAAAAATTGATCTGTGGAATACATGTGTTTGATTTCCTCCAACCATTCATTGGTGAGGGTAGTTACAGCTGATACTTCCATGGTATAATCTGGACTTTGTTCATCACTCTCATGAATTCTAGATAGACCATCTGCAGCCTTATTTAGTCTCCCAGGCTTATATTCAACACTGTAATCAAAACCATGCAACTTTGCAAGCCATTTGTTCTGTACACCTATGTGAATCTTCTGTTCCAACAGATATTTGAGGCTTTGGTGACCAGTTCTGATTATAAAGTTCCTGCCTAATAAGTATTGTTGCTAATTTTTTGTAGAAAGGATAATTGCTAAGAGTTCCTTCTCATATGTAGAGAGTGTAACATTCCTCCCTTTAAGCGCAAAACTGAAATAAGCAATTGGTCTATCCTTTTGCATCAGCACTGCCCCAATGCCAGAACCATTAAGCGCAAAACTGAAATAAGCAATTGGTCTATCCTTTTGCATCAGCACTGCCCCAATGCCAGAACCAGAAGCATCACACTCTATTACAAATGTCAAACTAAAATCTGGCATGGCTAGAATTGGTGGATTGGTGAGTGCCAATTTTAGGGAATTGAATGCTTCTTCAGCACAGACATTCCAAGCAAAAGCTCCCTTCTTCAAGAGTTGTGTTAGTGGCTTAGCTATTACTCCAAAACCCTTTATAAACTTACGATAATAACCTGCTAAGCCTAAAAAACCTCTCAGTCCTTTCAGTGTCCTGGGCAAAGGCCATTCAACAATAGCATTAATCTTATTAGGATCCACACTCACTCCATCTTGTGACACAATGTGTCCTAAGTACTCCACTTGCTTCTGTCCAAAGCTACATTTTGACAATTTGGCAATCAATTGATGATCCTTCATAATCTGGAACACTTGTTTCAAATGCTCCAAGTGATTCTGCCATCCCTTACTGTAAACCGGAATGTCATCAAAGAATATCAGCATAGATTTCCTCAATAACTTTTTAAAAATAGTGTTCATAAGTGCTTGAAAAGTTGAAGGGGCATTTGTGAGGCCAAAGGGCATGACCATGAATTCAAAATGCCCACTGTGTGTTCTGAAAGCAGTTTTTGGTATGTCATCTTCATGCATCATGATTTGGTGATAACCTGATTTCAAATCTAATTTTGTAAAAAAATGAGTTCCATTCAGCTCATCCAGCAGTTCATCAATAATAAGAATAGAGAACTTATCTTTAATTGTAGACTTGTTGAGATTTCTGTAATCTATACACATCCTCCAAGTACCATCATGTTTTTTTACCATCACCACTGGAGAAGAAAAAGGACTCTTGCTGGGTCTTATAATCCCTTTCTGGAGCATATCTTCAACTTGTTTTTCAATCTCTTCATTTAGAAAATGAGCATGTCTATAAGGTCTAATACAAACTGGTTTTGTACCCTCTTCCAGTGGAATTCTATGATCTATATCTCTATGAGGAGGTAGGTGAGGCAGTTCATTAAATATTACCTGAAATTCTTGTATCAGTTGGTGCATGTCCATAGGTAGATTTTCAGCAACATTTCTTAAAGTAGATTCCTGTAAATTCACACTACATAACTGGATCAAATACCATTCCTCTTGTTCTCTAAGGTACCGTTTGGCAAAGGGTTAAGTGAGGGGTTAAGGAGACTTAACCTCTTCTTAACCTGTCAAACACAACAAATCTATATAAGGGTTAAAGTGAGTTAACCCTCCATAATTTGCCAAACATAAAAAATATAGAAGGGTTAAGTTAACCCCTCTAGAGGGGTTAAAATGAGTTAACCCCTCAAAATGAGGGGTTTACTAATACTCCTATTTAGATGGAATAAGAGTTAACCTTTCTAATTATAAAGAAAATAGTCAAAATCATTGTTATTCCCAAACACTAAAACTGATCATAAGGGCTAAAATAAAACTTATTTAACGAGTTAATAATTTATTCCTTCGGATTATCAAATGGGCTAAGTACATTAACCCTTCTCTTTAACCCCTCTTCATTAACCCTTTGCCAAGCGGGGCCTAAAAGACTTATCAATGGCCTTCTCATTAACCAATTGTATTTTTTCTGGAACTATACCCTGCAGGGTTCTTTTCACCCCTTCACTCATGAAGGTTATCTGTAATTTCTGAAAATTCAAGATGATATCATCCAGTGTCTTCATCCGGTCAGCCCCAAAACAATTTGGCTACCCCCTATAGGCATGACTAGCAAATTGTTTTGAATTTTAACTCCCTGACAATCCAACATCACTCCCTGACAAACTCCAGCTCCTTTAATCAACTCACCACTAGCCACCAGTACATTAAAATCAGTAGATTCTGTCACATTTAACCCCAGCCTTTTGACTAATTTGGCATTAATAAAGTTGTGAGTTGATCCAGAATCTATCAAGATACTAATTGCTTGATTCTTGTAGTAACCCACTACTCTTATAGTATGAGAGGTATTAATCCTACTCAAAGCTTGAACTGAAATAGATGGAGCTCCCTTAACCAAACTTTCAGCTAGTTCAACTGCCACAGTGTCTTCTTTAGTCTCCTCATAATCAATTTTATTTCCCACAATGTCTCCTTCCAAAATGCCTTCTAATATAAACAGTTGTTTTCCCTTACACTGGTGTCCTCTATGCCACTTCTCATCACAAGTGAAACATAAATTCTGACTCCTCCTTCATTGTATCTCTTCAGGGGTCATTTTCTTGAATTGAGAAGTTGAACGAGAATTCTCTTTAACAGGGATATTATGTGGGGTATTTGTTGAATGTCCTCCTGAATTGTACACATTCCAGTTTCCTCTAGGCTTTCTTTCATTCTTTTTCTTATCTTCAAACAATTTAGCTAGTGAAACTGCTCCTTTTAATGAATTGGGTCTGGCTGCTGCCACCTCATACCTCAACTCATCTTTAAGGCCTCCAATGAATCTTTCAAGAATATGTCTCCTAGAGGGTTGGTCATCTAATAGACCTAATGCTTGCTCAAAATTTCCCAGATATTCTCTGACTGTAGTAGTTTGCCTCATGGTAGAAAAAGCATCATATGGTCTAGAAAGTTCACTTGGACCAAATCTAGTAATCAGTTCTTCTTTAAACACATCCCATTGATTAAAATCTTCAATGTTTCTAGCAAGCCATCTATACCATTGTAAGGCTTCATCTCTCAAGTAAAATGAACAAACCTTGACCCATTCATCATTCTTGATATCATAATAATCAAAAATTTGCTCAGTTTGGTCTAACCATGCTATTACGTTTTCATTGCCAGAAAATGAAGGAAAATCTAAACGTAGAGACTTAGGTTGAACCAATTTCTGTTTGCTAAAAGAAGGAGTTCTTTTGTGTTGAAGAGTTACCAAAGCTGTGAGTCAGTTGAAACTCCTCTTGGGAACTAGCATCTCTTCGATTCTGGAAGTTGTGTCCTTGATCATAACTTCTTCTGCTTGAATCTTAAACTCATTGTCTGGAAATCTCTCTGTCTCCTCTTGAACCTGAACTCAAGATTTGTTGATCCTCTCTTGGCCCAACACCCAGAATTCCTTGGTTAAGACCCTTGGAGTTCTTAAATTCTTGAACTAAAAGTTTGATTTGAGAAGCTAAATCATCCAATTTTGTTGTATTCTCCGCCAATTTGGATGAATTTTCCTCCAATCTGATTGAGGTTTGCTGATTAATTGAACCCTGCTGTCTCATGAATAACGTCTGTTGTAGAATTGCATCCTCCACTCGAATGAATCTTTCCTCTTGAGTCGTTTCTTCAGCAGAGGTCTCCTCGTGATCGCCCAAGATTTCTTCAGCCCTCTTGAGTCGTTTCTTCAGCAGAGGTCTCCTCGTGATCGCCCAAGATTTCTTCAGCAGCTTCTTCAGCTTCTAAATGCTCTGATACCAATTGTGAGGCTCGAGAGCCTCGGTTGATCCTCAAGTGGCTGTTTCTGACCATGGCTGAAGTTGTAGGAACTTAAGAACAGAATGCAGAAAGAATTAAGATAGAGAGAAATAGAATTAGAAGAGAGAAAGGAATAAAATTCAGAATTGAGGAGAAGAAGAGAATTCAATTTCATTCATGATACTAGTGATTATTACATTCTCTTCTTTTATACCACTCAGCTACAGGACTGGTGCACGTGCACAGCTAACAGAAAGTTA